GTAGGCAGACGAGCAAAAAAGCAAGCAAGACGTTCCTTTGTTGAGAAACCACAGCATGGCATTGTGAAGAGAGATGCCCCAAAAAATAAAGCGGTCGAATTTACGAAGCTAGAATTGTGCCGCTGTCCCTAGTCAGCCACCTACGTAAATCACGGTCAAGTACGTTGGCACGTGCTCAAACTCCTCACTTCACGATGCCGACGGCTAGACGACTGCTCGTTCCAATCGCTAGCGCAACCAGCCGTGTGAACGCCTTCCTCAAAGAATGGCAATGTTCTCGTTCCGCCTCTAAGCCAATTGCACCTCCCTAACGTGATCTTGCCTCGTATCCCAACGCGTTGGCATGCAAGTGATGGTGTTCGTGCATGGTAATTGCATGCCCAAGCTTGCCTACCCCTCGTTCTCCGTCATAGCTGGACAACGCGGGGCAGTATGAGCATCAGCTCGCTGTCACGCTCCAATAAAGCCACGCGCCCACTTCAGAGCGCGACACAGAGCGCGTGTCCTGATCGACCAGGACCTACAAGAAGTCTTTTCGCGACCCACACGGTAGCCACCGTTCTCGTCCTGCTACTAGCGCTGGGTACCGGTTTCTTCGCACCCCACCTCCCACACGCCGTCTTACGCACTGTTACCAACAAACAGGCTCCTTCCTTCACTCTCCGCAATCCGATCGTCCTACAGGAACCTGCTATCTGCCCGAAGCCCGAACCTCAGGTCGAATTCGTCGGTACTTTCAACACCCAACATAAGCGCAGCATGACACTCGCAGAGCAGGCGAAGCGCGTCGCCGCCGAGTTCGACTTCGACGACAATGCCGTCAACAAGGCCGTCAAGGAGTTTATTCGGGAAATGGGTATGCACGAGGACACAAGCTGGGCAATTGGCTGCTGACGACGCGCAGACGAGGGCCTAGAGAAGACAGGCACCGAAATGAGCCAGATCCCGACATACGTCACTGCTGTTCCCAATGGCACGGAGAAGGTACGGCCTCGATATGCGCGAGTGTTCGCTTCCTTCTGATACTGCACAGGGTCTCTACATGGCCGTCGACTTGGGCGGCACCAACTTCCGCGTGTGCTCCATCGAGCTTCACGGTAACACCACCTTCTCACTCACCCAGAGCAAGGTAGCCATTCCGCGCGAGCTCATGGTCGCAAAGACATCCAAAGAGCTCTTCTCCTTCCTCGCGAAACAGATCGAAGCCTTCCTGAAACTGCACCACGAAGAACACTACGCCGGCACGCTCAGGCGCAGAGAAGGAAAGGAAGGCGAACCACAAGATGAGGAGATCTTCAACCTGGGTTTTACCTTTTCATTCCCGGTTCACCAGATAGGGATCAACAAGGGTATGCTGATGCGCTGGACAAAAGGTTTTGACATCCAGGATGCGGTCGGCAAGGACGTGTGCGCTCTGCTCCAGCAGGAAATTGACGAGCTCCATCTCCCTGTCAAGGTGGCTGCTTTGGTAAACGACACTGTCGGAACTCTCATGGCACGCTCGTACACATCGCCCGGCAAGACCGGTACATTACTCGGTGCGATTTTCGGAACCGGTACTAACGGAGCCTACGTCGAGAAGCTGGACAAAGTCACCAAGCTCACCAAGGACAAGAACGGTGGTGTATACGACAAGTCGACTGGAGAGATGATTGTCAACACTGAGTGGGGCAGCTTCGACAACTCGCTCCGCACTCTGCCCAACAGCCCTTACGATGTTCAGCTTGACAAGGACTCTGTTAACCCCGGAATCCAAATGTTCGAGAAGCGTGTATCAGGCATGTTCCTGGGAGAACTTCTACGTCTTGCTCTGCTTAAACTGATCAAGGACCCTGCTGTTCCTCTTTTCACTGATGACAACTCGTCCTCGAACGATGTTCACAGCACCACACAAATTCATGACAGCAGCCCAATATGGAAGCAGTGGGGTCTTGACACGAGCTTCCTCAGCGTGTGCGCTGGCGACAACAGCCCTGGCTTTCGCATGTTGCGACAGACGCTCGACAAGGACTACGACATCTCCGCTGTCAGCGCTGAGGACGCAGAGGCAGTCCGCTTAATTGCTGGAGCGATCGGTCGCCGTGCTGCCCGTCTTGCTGCTGTTGCCATTGCCGGTACTATCATCAACACTGGTCGTCTGGACAAGTCCTCGGGCTCCGCTACCACAGAGCAGAAATCAGGCATTGAGCCCCCACGTGGAGACGTTGATGCCAGTGCAGGCGACGAGATTGACATTGGTGTCGATGGCTCGCTGGTAGAGTTCTACCCCAACTTTGAGGAGTACATTCGTGAAGCACTACGTGCGATACCCGAGATTGGTGCAAAGGGCGAGAAGAGAGTCAGAATCGGTATTGCGAAAGACGGATCTGGTGTTGGTGCCGCCCTCATCGCGCTTGTCGCTGGAAAGGTTGGCGCGCCGCAGTAGGTAAGGTGGCTTGAATGTTGGACATGTAGTACATGAGTGCTCTTTTGTGTAATGAATCTCGGAAATGAAATGACGCAATTTTGACAGCAAACAAACTGCTTTTCTGATTAGTGCATTGCTTTCTGTTATAGCGTTTCAGTACGACGCTTCCACTGTCTTTGGCTCATTGTTTTGGAAGTTTCCATTGCTAAAAAGAATCGATGACGCATGATGTTACATGTGGGCCCATCAAGAAGCGTGACTCCAACTGCCCCACTATCATTCTTTGTGTTGAACTGCAACTGACGACTGGGTTACCACATCTAGCGGGCTTGTAAGACGAAATAGCGAGTCTAACAATCTTATTATTTCTCAGTTGCTCATCAATCAGATCACAGCCCGGCTGGCACAATTGGAGTTTGATATTTATGAGGCGGCAAGAGCTTAAAAAATCGAGCACTTACACTCAAACAAGTTCTACGTATCACGATTCTGGCTTGCCTTGCAGCCTGGAGCCATTTTACAAGTAGCTTTCACTCTAGATAATACAGACCGTGGGTCATTTCAGACGCTGCGTCGACTATGTGCTGCTATCGCATATTGTCGCGTAGTGAAATCACCTAGCCCGTGAAGTTCAGTATATTATGATGGCCTCCATCGTCCGGAACAAATCTGCAACATGTTTCAGTCACTCGAGAGCAACTTCACACTCGACTGTGAGGACTCAACTGAGACTGAAAGAAATTTCCGCAACAAAGACAACAAGCGCTCTGCCCATGTCGAAACTCATATTTCAGAATATTATGACAGAACCATACGAACATTGGGGTGATCACTCGTCCAGCTCTTTAGGGACGCATCAGCCGATGGAAGAAGCATCAAACGAGTCTAGTTACTCAGAGGCTGAGTCTTCTGGCACAGAGCAATCTTTTTGTACTGCTTGTGCCACTATACCTCCTACAGCTAAGAAGGTACCTAGGAGGGTATCCAGGAAAAGTCGATTCATCGAACAGTTTGGCAGCCTTAAGTTGACCAAGGCAAACCTCCATGCGTTAGAGGCCAGTCACAATCGCATAACTCCAAAGCAGGCTACTCCTGTGAAAAGAGAGATCCGTTTTGAATCATCACCACGTGGAAACTCGTTTTTTATCCCTCGCAAGCCACTTCCAGAATCCGCGCGAGAGATACTTCAGAAGATAAGAGCCAAAACCATCACCCAACATGACGAACCACCAATTTCAGAGTCTGACAGTAGCCCATGTCCTCTTCGCTCGAATGCCACCTTTGAAGACTTTTTGCCATACCACCAGCTGCGAACCCGGCAGCAAGACGATAACGAGGAATGGCAGCGTCGTCGTGCGCGATCTCTGTCCGCTGTTGCGTTCGAAAGTATGAAGGAATTCAACTCAAGTTGCGACAATTTATCAATTCAGGGTAAGAAGACTGCGAATGAGGTGAAAGAGGTGATCAAGCGTCGTATGCTTGACCATGACAAGTAGGGCAGCTTTTCAGACCTTTGATTTGTAGAGTAGTATACAGAATATGTCTTTTGGACTATTAATACAGACACCAATATTTTTCTTCGTTGTAGCAACGGAACTAACAACATTGATCAATTGTGCCGCTAAAATACAAGTGTGTATAGAAAATGACTAGAAGCTCGATCCTGTAGCGGTGCGGCAAACTTCCTTACCAAGAAAACGAAAAAAAAAGATCAAGACGCTATATCTAGCTATACCGGCTCACAGACAAGCAAAAAGAACGTCGCCCGACCAGGGACTCGAACCCTGAGCCTTGAGATTAAAAGTCTCACGCGCTAACCAATCTGATGAAGCCCGTTAGTCAACTGTTGTGTTGTGGTAGTAGAGTGGTGAGTTCTTACTGTGCCAGCCGGGCTGTAATGTGATTGATGAGAGATTTGTTGAAATTGCTAAATGTATCCTACGATGTTTTTGCATGCAGTCGATGTTGGGATCACGGAATGATCCAGAGAAATACGGTCAGGGCGGTGGAGTCACGCTTCAAGTGGTCCGTGTACTGCCTAGACCCCACAACATATTGGGTCTTGCGTCATTGATCTTTGTGAGCACTAGCATCGTCCAAAACGAACAAGTAAAGATTCGAGAAACGTCGTATCGCACAATAACAACATCATGAAGTAGCTTATCTATTTTGAATCAAACTTGTGTATGTGTTTAAATATGCCTAGTTGATGTTTCCATTAAACAAAGACTTTTGGTGGGAGTAGCGGAGCTCTGATAGCGAAAGTCGCAGACTGTTTGTCGGGGGATAGCTAGGCCAGACAATGCGTCATTGGTGTTTCAAGTATTGTTATGGGCAATAACTTAAGAGTATGTCCGGCATAAGAAGATGCCGTATACACTCTTACTTTCTTTCACGAATTTTCTCGCATCATATCTTAGTTGTTCCGCGTATTGCTTAATTGTGTAGGTCTAGAGATACATGCTACTATGTGAGGATCATGTATGGTAAATAGTGGAGATTCCAAATGTACTAAAGTATGTCGCTGACTTGGAATTATCACTGTTCGCTTGCGCAAGTCATTCGTTTTGATTGTCTAAGTGCGGACTTCTTACTAAACCTCACGAGCTTCGTACCATGTCTTGTAAGCCTTTGGGTCAACTGGGAGGTCCCAGTCATCGCCAAATAACTCATCCTCGCCTGAGTCTGCTAAGAAGTCAATCGGATGACGTGTGAATGAGCCCTGCCCTCTACTACCCTCCGCTCCCGGGTACCAACGTCGAGGGCGTGCCTCAGTCAAGTCGCGACCCTCTAGCCAGTCGACCAAGAAGTTCATCTTGGCAAGCCAGTTGTGAAAATCTCCACCCTTCTTTACCCAAACTTCATCTGGTCGTCCGTCTGACCACCGTAATCCGCCCAAACGAATACCCAGGCGTCGCGATGGATCGTCCCATACAATGTACATAGCATAGTTAGCTCCCTTGACGATCTCATTCCTGTGGACCTCTCCTACTGGAACAAGCTCGCATTGTATCCAAATCGTATCTTGTTTGAGCGAGTCCACGAAATCTCGTTTGATCTCAAACTGCAATCGCCCAAAATGGAAGCGGTATTGCCTGCCATGAGGATGATAGTCGCCGTCGAATAGGTCGCCTGAGAGGTACGGAGCTGCTCGATCAGGTACTGGCATGGCTTTCTTGTACGCGTAGAAACGACGCTTCATTGCTGCTCCCGCTTGGTCGAATGGGGATCCTTTCATTGGAAAATCCCTCAATCCAAATCCCTCCGCCAGCGGCTCACGTATGCCCACTCCCCATTGCAGGTTCTGGGGAGGTATGGTTGCAAAGATTTCCTTGGGCAAGTTCGAAGCTAGCTCTTGAGGTTGTAGAGCCAGAAAAAGAACTGCAACCCACTGTTCGAGCAAGTTGAGAATCGGTCCAGAAGCGAGCTGATCTCCTGAAGCTGCAAGACAGATCCAAAGATCATCCGCCTGATCCCATAGCCAATACAGAAACGATCGCTTGGACAAAGAACGGTATGAGGCTCTGTTGTGGCCATCTGCGATACGCTTCCACGCGTTACCAGTTTGGCCGACATAGGTCCACAACTCGCCTTCGATCATCAAACAGATGACGTAAATGGCCCCATGTTGGTTGAAGTTGTCAACGGCCAGTTGCTTAAGTCTAACCTTCGTTAGTAAGAGATCTTGTACACTCATTGCTAGAGCAGGCTGGGCACAGGTCAGATAAAAAGGTGAGACCTGGATAAGTAGTAGATCAAGAGTGACAGAAAAGAGCAGCGAAGTTTGGGTGAGTCGAATGAGCTGAGGCTCACGTACTCGACCTTGTCCCGAAGCTTTCCCGTGTTCGCTCGCTCAACCACCCAGTCGTCTACCAATGCTACACATTCGCCGATCGCCCAACCAGGGTCTTCAAGAACATCGCGGTAGAAACTTCCCACCTGTTCAGATTTGGCAGCATGGCACCGCTCCGGCACGACGTTCTTGACAATGTGTTCGAGTATGGCAAGCGCGTTCATCATATCGGTTGAACGAGCGTGTTGCACGCACGGAAGACACTTCGTTTGGCAGACACTCAGTGAAAGAAGACGCGCGAGCGAAAAAGATGGTCGGAAATACAAGGCAGTGTGTCTGTTTGGACAAACAAAACGTGGCTCCTGCCTGGATGTGGCTCTAGGATGGAAAGAACACCCACACAAGCACGGCCAATTCCGTTATGAGCGACCTGACATATGTGCGCTCGCTCTTCTAACTCAAGGGACACGTTTATAGACTGTCACCAACATGGCATAGAGCTTATCCATTTGCCTAACTGATTGCAGACTGAAGCATATAGCTAAGTACATCTCGGGCTTGACCAGGCCAGCAGCAAAATATGGCAATCGTGACATCAGCATTGAATGGCCTTCGCTATGCGACATCTGATTCCAGTTAATACCAGTTAATACCGTAGTCTTGCCCTTGTGGAGCTTTCTTTGATATAATAAGCTGAGCGAATGAGCAATGGCATCCGCCGACAAATGAGTGGCACCAGTCGGGAAAGCTGGCCAGACCGCATTTACTTCACCTTGCCTGACTCTCCACTTCCAAGCCCACCAGCACTTCTAGTCTTTGCCTTGCTCTTCATTCCCTGCGCCTTGACGAGCTTCTTAGTATCTTCCGCTGACTTGGCCTTAGCAGATGGTTTGCGGACTCGTTTGGGCGGCACACTGGAATCCGAATTTGTTCCTTCTTCGTTGATGCTGTGGTTGGTCGAACGTTTCTGCCTCTTGCCAGGACGTGCGGGTGGCTGCTTAGTTGAACTCAAACCGGAGATCTGGTAGGGTTTCCGCTTCCTCGACTTCACCGAAACCGACGTTGACTTGGCCGAAGATGCTTCATCGTCCGAGTTGTTCAACTTTTTCTTCGATTGATATGTCTCACTCTCCGAGTCGCTATCTGTATTAGAGTTCGTGGACTTGTCGATGTTTTGCTCCCGGTTAACTGGATCAGTGTTTGCTAGCTCAAGCCGCCTTTGTTCGAGATAGTCAGTCAAATCGGTAGTCTTATCTGACTTTGTAGCTTTGACCTCCTTCAACAACCCAGTCAACATTTCGTCTGGACCTTGTTGGTCAGAGTTGATGGCGCTTGTAGGATAGCTACCCATGTTGCTGCCGAGCTTGTCGGTATCGAAATCTGAACCGCCGTCGGAGTCTTCCTGATTGACCAAGTCCCGATATCCCTGCGTTCTCTTGAAGACATCACTCACCCCATAGCTGGCTCCTTTGGCGTTTGGTATGACGATCGCTTGAGGTATGACTGGACTCTCTTTTGGGAAGTCATCTCGAAGCGTTTTTGTCTTGCACCAGTCATACGACTCGCAACTGTTTCGTTCGAGTGTAGCGTCCACGTCACAAGCTGATGAATCGAGAGCGTCACTCAACTGCGAAACCTTTATTGCCATCTCAGTTGAATATCCGTCTGTCCTTCTCATCAATCGACCGATGTACCTGCTCAAGTCTGCTTTCATGGTTTGATCTTGCCCAGTCTTCCCCTCGATGTCTTTGATGGCGTTCTCAATAACTCCTAGGGTCGATATGTAGAAATCGCGTTGGCCATTTGTGAATTGGGTCATCAAAGCTAGGAGCTCAGCCATGCGATGCTCTGAGTGCTGGAGTCGTTGGAGTAACACAAGTGTGTCTGCATGGGCGTCGGTTCCTTCCTTGAGCTCAGTCGACTGAGCACGACTTTCTGCAGTTGCCTCTTGTTCTTCTTCGTCCGAACTGGATGGAATGGGGTACTCGATGGGACGCAAGCCGCGTACGCGGTTGATATCCATGTCGATCGTCTGTCCTGAGTCTTTCTTCACGGCTGAAGACACTTGGTTGGACGATTCAGGCCTAGACTTAGGTTTCCTAGTCGGAGTATCATCATGAGTGGAGCTTTGGGCTCGGTCGAGCGTTTCCCTCTTCTGCTTGGCTGGTACCGCTACAAGTAAGCTCTTCGTGAATACAGCGCGGTCTAGCTTCAAACCCATCTTCTCTAGTTGTTCGCATAGTTCGTCGTAAGAAGGGTTGTTGTTCACTAGACTCAATATCTGGCCAGGTTTGACTTGGTGGGCGACATTCAGATTGTTGAGATATGCCGCTGCTGCGCTCGCCATAAGAGCCTTCTTCTCAGGCGGCCAGACCGTGTTGCCAGTTGGTTGAGTGATGTTGCTGTTTGGCTGTACTTGTTTGACAGGGACAGCTTGAGCTATGGCCGGAGGTGAAGCCTGAGCTCGGCTAGGTTCTTCATCCTCGATTCGTTTCTTGCCTGCCAGCTTCCTATACTTAGAGATCTCGGTTTTAGAGAGCTTCCTGACTGCCGTGGCTTTGGTAATACTGGGGGTTGCTTGAGCAAAAGCGATAAGTGCAAATCGGCCTAGTGCATCTTCAGTGTCTTCTCTATCGGTGAAGTAACCCGAGAGATCCTCTTTTCCGTCTGGTTTCCTCCTCACCACGTTGACTGCGTAAGGCTTGGCTATATGAGGGGCGGTTGCTTGTGCGTAGTTGACCTTGAGGCTGTTGTTGGGCTTCCCTGAATCATCAGGGAATATGAAACCGCTTGGATATGCATTTAGCTTGCATTGAGAACTGTCCAATGCCTTGAAAGAGTAGGACTGGTCGGCTGGGTCGCTTTCGGTGTTTGGCAAAAGATCAGTCTGGAGTAGGCGTGCTTTTCCGATCGGCTCCCGTAACCAATACCACTTCTTTGGTCCTTCACCCGGTTTAGGCAACTGACCATACTTTGCGCCGCAAAGCAACTGCGCCCCATTGTTCGTAGCGACTATCTTGCCATCGTTGACGAATGGATCGCCCATGGGTCGTCTGGCTTTGTGAAGAACACCAGTTGCGTTGAAGATGTTCGGCCATCTCTCTCCAAGGGTTGCAAGCTCGATGTGTCCCGATTTGGCCAACTCGATAAGTTGTCCTACAGTGTCATCTGACAGATGCACGGAAGCTGGCGGTAGGCTGGTCGGTCCAACCGTGAAGCTGTAAGGAAAGTATTTCAGATGATCGGCCCAACGCATGTCCCTAGTGTCGAACGGTCGAGGAACAAGCCGATTCCAGTTGCGAATGTCATCTTCAACCTTGAAGTTAAACAATGCAAACTGGCGGAGACTCGGTACTCCTACTGGGCCGCCCATTTGATCGCCTTGGGTTTCTTGGCTGTTTTCCTGTAATAATATTGGTCAGCTCTTGGCCAAACATGCCCATGTACAAGCCTGTCTTACCAGAGTAGATTGGGTATACTTTTGGCTGCGTATACTGGAGCTTATGCTTGAGTCCTTGTCATGAATCGGATCGTCGCCTGAGTCACCAGCGGGCGTTACAGAGCCGTGTGTTGGACTGTGGGGATTACGAAACGCCTCACTTGCGTGGTCGAGGCGCGAATCACCAATACCGTACTCTGTCAGCACGTGGGTTTCCTCTTGTTCGTTCAAGTTATGTTCCAATACGAGCAAGACCATGTAGACCTAAGTATCTACGCACAAGATTGCGTGATTCGGTCTGTATGTGTAAGAGAAAAGAAATCTCAGGATGTGCCGCGCTTAACCGCAGGTGAGTACCGACACGAGTAATAGCAGCGCTTGATTGGCGCTGAAACCTTGTAGATAGTCCGTTTGCTCGTCTTCACCTAGGGTTTGGAATCGTACTTCACTTGGCCATATTCGATGGCGGCATTGCAGCATGTTGATTCACAGGACAGCCCAGTTCATAGATATCGCATTCGGAAAGCTGCTTGAGCAGATGATGTTATCTTGTTCAAAAGTTGAAGAAATCTTGTATGTGAATGGTGGTGTAGAGCGCGGTCAGGCGTTGACGTGTGGACTGCCAAGCTAGCCCACCACTTTACGCGTCGTTGGGACGCGTCTGGCTTTCACGCTCCACCAATTTTCGCAACTTCGCAGACACGCCCACAACAGAATCAAACAATGGCGCTACTAGTAGATAAACACCGGCCACGCAATCTTGAAGCACTCAGCTATCACCCCGAGCTTTCAGATCGTCTACGAGCCCTCGTAAGGACACCATCGAAATCGTCCAGTAGGCGAAACGCGACTAACGCAACATTATATAGGCACAAAGCGGCGACTTTCCACATCTCCTCGTATACGGTCCTTCTGGCGCAGGTAAGAAGACACGCATCGTCGCAACGCTCAAAGAGCTCTATGGACCCGGTGTCGAGAAGATTAAGATCGATGCACGCGTGTTCCAAACCACCACAAACCGCAAGCTCGAGTTTAACATCGTCGCGTCCGTATACCACCTCGAAATCACACCATCAGATGTTGGAAACTATGACAGAGTAGTTGTACAAGATCTTTTGAAGGAAGTGGCGCAAACACAACAGGTCGACTTGAGCGCAAAGCAGCGTTTCAAGGTGGTTGTGATCAACGAGGCAGATCACTTGACAAGAGATGCGCAAGCAGCACTCAGACGGACCATGGAGAAGTACAGTCCCAACCTGCGGTTGATTCTACTAGCAAACTCTACGAGCAACATCATCGCACCCATCAGGAGTAGAACGCTTCTTGTGAGAGTTGCGGCGCCGACGGAGACTGAAATTTGCGATGTTCTGAGCAAAGTGGGCACGAAGGAGGGATGGAAAGATGTGGAGAGTCTGAATCAGAGGATAGCGAAGGACAGTGGACGTAACTTGAGGAAGGCGCTTTTAATGTTCGAAGCAGTACACGCTCAGAAGTATGTTTCAGACCTGTAAAAGCCTCATAAATACTAACATACCACCAGCGAGAAAATCACCGACCAAACACATATTCCTCCACCTGACTGGGAAGCACTCATCCAGCAAATCGCCCGCCAAATTGTCGAGGAGCGATCTCCGCAACGCCTTCTACAAGTCCGCGCCTCCCTTTACGACCTGCTATCGCATTGCATCGACTCTACAACCATCATAAAAACGCTTACCTGGAAATTAATACCCTTGACCGAGGACGCACTGAAGCCTGAGGTTATCAAGTGGGCGGCATTCTATGAGCATAGGTGTAAGATGGGCGCTAAGCAGATCTTCCATTTAGAGGCTTTCGTCGCAAAGTACATGAGGTTGTACGAGAGGTATGTGCTGCACTCTGAGAAAGTCGGGTTGAAGCTTACAATTGACGCAGCTACGCCATGGGTATCGATTTCGATTCGGCATAAACGCAGATTCGCATGTTTGGTTCGATTGCAGGGTAAACGTAGTTGATGTGTCTTCACCAGGGTGTTCTGGCGCTACAGAGCGCGTCTCGCGTTCGGCGTTTGGTGGTTACGTCATAGCATGGAGCTTTCCCATACCTCGAGTTTCTAAGCTTCAGTTCCACTACAATCTCACACAATCCAAACACTCTCATACCTTTTCGTATACCAACTTTCTCATACACACAAAATCAGTTCAATCACCGTACTCGCAAATATGTCAGACAAGCTTATGGACACTGTGCCCGGCGGCGAGAACCAAAACCAATACGAAGATGTGCATACCTTCATCGAGCCTCATGCCAAGCAAGCTGGTCAATTAGGTGGTATGGCGTTTGCCCCTCTTATCCACCTCTATTGTGCAACTGCTAATCATCTGTTCCTGCAGACCCCTCGGAAGGCACCTCCATGCACAAGAAGACCTCCGACCCCGGCGCGCCCAACACCCAAGGCATCACACCGGCAGATAAGATCCGGTACGGACAAAGTATCCAAGAAGGTGGGGCGGGCGGCAAGACAACAAGTTCAACGGGTGAGGCGAACACTGAAAGTATGTCAATCACAGATCACCATGACTTTTGGACGGCGGGCTAACAATAAGCAGGTGGATTCGGTGGTACAGAAGCGTTGAACGAAGACGATGAGAGCGCGGCCAAGCAGAGGAGAGAACAGGGATACGGTGGAAACAAAGATATGGATCGTAACATTGGCGCATAGTAGCTGAAAATCAAGCGTTACTAAACCAAGAGACACGAGAAATGAATACAAGCCAACGCTAATTGCTTGATTGATAGGGTAGCCTAAACAAGGTTGGGCATACATACTACTATACAATGATGATACAACTTGAGTATCCAGTCTAAGAATGCCCATCTTGTCATGCGTCCCAAACGCCATCGCTATGCAGCCAGACTTATACGTTATTCGTACAAAAAGCGTAAAGAAATGAGGAGGGATACCTGAGCAGAGATCAAAAACAGATCAGAGAAACACAAATGCCTTCCACACGAGCAGATGAGCCCACGTTAATGTCTCGTAGCGTCATCAGCCCTCTGTTCCACCTTGGCCAACTTCCTTGCCAACGCCCTTTCTCTTTCCAGGACGCTTGCCAGCGTGTCACCCCTCTTCGTGATACCGCCCAGATCTGGCGCACCAGACGGCATCGTACTACCCATATCCCCTCGACTAACTCCGTTTCTACTACCGCCACCCCATGCACCAAGGCCCCATGTAGTGCCTGGAGCTACTGTTGGTCTAGTTGGCTCCCTGCTAACAAGCGCACCAGGTCCATGACCATACATGCTGACCCGTTGCACCTTACGAAGCCTTGACAGTCCGTATACAGCGACGATAAAACCGAACACGGTACACCAAGCGCTTATGCCGAAGAAACCAAGATCGGATTCTTCGATAAAGTTCTTCAGGTTCATGCCGTATAGAGCCGCAACGAAGGTTCCGGCAGTGATCGCAAGGGTAAGAATGGAGAACTTGAGGTCGAGAAGCATAAGGGAGTTGCGGTTAGCGTCTAAAATAGCTTTGACACTATACAAGAATTAGTTTGGTTGGAGAATGGTAGAGAGGGGCGTAGAAAAACGTACATCTCCTCAGTGCTCCTAATGCTAGATACCAAGTTCTCAGCGGCTTGTACGATTTCGTCGGCGACCTTGTGGTAGGATTCAAGGAGCATTTCGACTTCGGTATGATCGTCTTCTTCCCGTGTCTTGCCTTCTGCCTTCTCTGTCAGATACATGCCGCTGAGATCGTCGTCGGCCTCCAGCAATTCCTCCAGTGCGTTTCTGACCAATCGTGCCTTTTGTTCGAAACTACCCAGCTTCTTACTGTAAATGAGCAGGTACCGCAGCTTGTCCCTGTCGATGTCTTCTTCAAGCTCTCGCAGAACTCGAACCACTGGCTCACTGACGCCTTCGAATTCCTTCTCCAAGCTCAGTGTTACGCTTATAAGAACAGCTTCTAGTGCTCGGAATTCGTAGGCGAGGGTGCCATTGATTGTGGATTCTTTCTGGCGCAGTTTGAGATCGAGATCGTACATGAAGACGGACTGTGACTTCGAATCGGTGGTACCATATGCATCAAAGACAAGGACGCGGTTGTGCTTCAGGAGGACACGAAGGTTCAGGAGGTTTATCAGGATCGCCGAAGGTCGAACGAGAATATGCGGGAGGAGCGAGGAATCGATCTTGCGAAGATCACGAGGAAGTAGACCGTACTATATTCAATAATCAGCTACATAGTCTGGATAGACCCAATGCCGTGCGCACCTTGGCGATAAGTTCGCTCTTCTTGAACTCTCCACTAACGAGCGTCACATTGCCGTGTTCGTCAAGTTCCGTACAACGCATTTTGAGTTCGTTTGTAGGTCGCATTATACGTCCCAGGCTACTTCCGAACCCTGTTGCACCTGAAGATGATTCATCCGGTGGCGGTTGCGGTGCTTGCAGTTGGGCCAATCTTCGCATCTTTGCTGAGCGGAAGATGTTCCACGCTTTGTTCGTGGAAGTTGTAGAGAACCTCCGATGGCCCTGAGAATCGACATCTCGTACGGAGAGAGCAGTAGTCTGTGGAGCGACGAGTGAAGTCTCGAAGACTGGTTGCAAGATCTTCGTGCCCGAGAGGCATTGCGAAGTTGCGAATGCCCTACTTCCAGCGCCTACTCCTCTCTTCCAACCTTGCGTGTTCGCCCCGCGTGCTGCATCTCCCAACAGTGTTTGTGACCTGATCTTCGTCCCGTATCTGCGTCGTTGCGGGGCTACCTGGGCGCATTGCGCCAACGGCCGCTCGAATGCATTGGTGACTTGAGCTCGCAGGAAGCTCAGAACGGACGTTGATGGGGCGGCGACTCTATGAAGCAAAATAGGCTTCATAACTTTCCATACGCAGGGTTCCGTATACGGCAGCGATCCATACGGTCGTTGTTGAAGTCGTTCGAAATATCCTTCAGGCCTCGCCTGCACGTCATTAGCATTCCGCGATCTTGGAAAATCGTTTAGCGCTAGTGACGTCACGTGCAACCGCGTCCACCAGTGGAACGCCTTCTAAACATGCGTCAAACACACCAGTCTAAACATACAGCCTACTCTCTGAGTTTGATGACTCTATACAGATGGCATGTCTCAACCGATCTACAACGCTCTAATTCGAACCCATCACATCACTTCCCGCAAAAAGGTTGCCAAGCTCAAAGCTGCAGCATCGAATTGTCACATTTACGCTCTTCTACGTTATGGCGGTTGTCCAGGCATCATGTACTGCCAAGGCTCTGAGATCGGTGTAAGAGAGTGGGTATCAAACGTACAGAGGCTACGTTATAAAGACTTCCAGCTAGTCAAGAAGCCTGCGGGCAAGGAAGTTGAAGGAAAAGCAGTAAAAGATAGTATTACGTATGGAAAACTGGAAGAAGTAGAGAGCGTGAAAGATTTTGGGGCTAGAATGCAGAAGATGGGTGTTTGGGGCTGGTGGCGGAAGGGTATGGGATACATCGGTGACGACTGAATGTTATGAACATCGGAACATACTCTAGCCCTGATGCGGTGTGTGTTCAAGAAAACTGGTAAAAGAAGGTGTGGCCAACTGATTACCCGATCGATTCCATACATATCACCTTAATCGTTCGTCCCAAGACTCTACAAACATTCAGATCTAGCGGTAGCCTATAGAACACCACTGGTGCTCAGGCTGCCCACTTTTCCACAGCTGCGAATAACAACGCACTACTTTGAACAGGAAGACTAAGCTGAAACTATCTGGTCTGAAGAGCAATATCACGACCACCAACCCGAATCTTCAGATCATCACGATCGACAAGCAGTACAGTCTCCCTTAATTGTGGGCTATCGAGATGAAGTTGCTGCAAACCCACCAGGCTCGATAGGCGCATGAGATGCGTGACCCACTTGCTCATCCTAAACGTATCCTCCTCTGGACTTTCGGTGTGTCTCTATCCAGACTGTTTTCGCTAGCCAGTAAGCACACCCTCTCCCAGTGTTCCCCAACATTTCTCACAAGGAGTGCACATCCATCGTTGCAAAACATATGCAGTGCGTCAGCTTCATAAGACTCCCTATTTGTCCTTTTATCAACCTGAATGAAGTGTAGTGCCAGAAGCGTTCCCACTGGCAACACTTGTCCAGAATGTGTAACGTTGTTCTTACAGCCCAACTTTTCCACCGAACTGACGTATTCCAAGCTGTACCCTGTTGACATAAGTGCCTCCATGGAGGCATAATGCACTCCGGAATCACTTACATCTGCTTTGATGACCTGAGATGTCATGGCTTCAATGTGGATGAAGCGGCTTAATCCGTCCGTGCCGCCATACGGATGATGGGCTAGACTATAATCTTGTAGTCTCGAATAATCGTGCTGATACTGCGACCACGTTAAGATCTTTCCGGACTTTAGCTCTACCTCGATCTTCATGGCTTCTTGCTTTGATTCTCCGAAACCTACTGCCGTTTTAGATTTTTCAACATAGTGTGAAATGTTGCCATTACAGCCGGTCCAAGACCAACTTGGGAAATTCTCTCGACGGATGCCTGAGTGAAAATTCGACCAACGAAGACTATCTCTGAAAGTCCATATTTCAGACTGTGGTGACTCTGGACTAGGGTGTGAATAGGGGAGGCCCCAGAGATGACGAATCCTATGCTGCCGCTGATAGGAGGCCAGAATACCAAGTAAAGCGTCAAGAACATCTGCTTGGTATGATTTCTTCTCTCTTCAACCATTCAGATATAGATATGAGATCGAGAGTTGTCACAGGTATTTCGAGACCATAGAGTTCCCGTCGTTCGCTAGGAATACAGATGATCGGTGATAGTTTGAGCCCATCTGTATAACGATAAGATAGGTTCATCTGCAGAAGCCCAAGGTTTCCTTCTTCTTTCGACGGCGGAACACCCCAAGTATCCAAATAGAACCCGGGATAATCGCCGAATTCATGATGAGATGTGGTGCTTGTATAGATAGACCTGGTACCATCCGCATTGCGGCCTCGATACTCAGTTGGCAGACATTCGATGATGAAGTCGCACAATCTGCATCCTTTCGGGAACCAGGTATCCATGATTGGAATTTCTTCAACAGCCGTTCCATCCTCGGGATCGTTGCGATCAAAGAGGCGCCCGATCTGGAGCTGCTGACATTGTTCACATAATGAGCCTAACGCAACAGACTCCATGGTTGCAATCAGAACACTCTATCCTTAGACTTTCTTAAAGGTAGCACAAAATAGTGCCTTTGTGATGGAGTGCAGTCTGATCACGTTTGTTGGCATCCCCGAATGAGAGCTTGTGTTAGGGAGATGCAATAGTCTCGTACTCGACAGTGGGGGTGGTCTGAGTCGCTACGGCAGAATGACTGCTTGCGAAAGCTACACCCCCGTTTCGCAAGAGATCCGTAAAGTGATCAAGACTTTACATAGTATACTATGTCTTAGGTTATGAGAGGCGCGAAGAGATAAATGTAAGTAAATGACGCAGAGACGTGTTGCGATGAGTGAAAGCACAGAAGCAGCAGGTAAGACGGCTGTCATTGCCGAGCTATGTCATTGCTTATACGTAGGACCCTGGGAAGCCACTCACGTGCACCACGATCACAATGACAAGATCGAATGAAATCAAGAGAATTTTCCAACTGTAAGACAAAGGTAACGATGGAATCGATCATTATGCTACGCTAATGCGCTATCAAATGCTAAATAACTCCTTCTTCCTTCTAGTACTCCTTCGCCAACTTACTCCTTGCGCGGAGCAGATGTCCATACTTGAACATGACGAATGGAATCAAACTCAGGACTGTTCCGAACATGGCAAGGATGAGACCTGCGTACTGACTGCCCACGTTGTGGAAGAATGCGCTCGCAAATAGTGGCGTAACAGCACCAAGGGTGTTCCTCATCAATCCCTGACCAGCGATAGCCGAAGATGAGGTCTCGCCGTAGCAGTCGGCAGTGTAGGAGTATGTGCTCTCGAATACGAAGAAGATACCGAATGCGATGGGTGCGAGACCGATGACAGGACCAACCCAGCTCAGGTATCCGTATTGCGTGAAAGAGTAAATGAAGAGACCGATGGGGAGCCAGACAGCGCCAAACATGGCACCGTAGAGGCGGTGTTCGGGAACGATGCGAACGTTAGGATCTTCCTGTAGCTGGTTGTACTTGCGCATCTGGAGGTGATGGGCGGCCCACCCGAGGAAAGTACCGACGGCGAGGGAGATGTATGGGAGGCCGCTGACACCTTCAGACCAACCACGCTTCTCGGTGAAGGTGATAGGAATGACCGAAAGGAACAGGAAGACTACTGCCCAGCAGAAGGCAATCCAGAGACCGAAGGCGAATACGACGGGTTCGGTAACAAGCATGCGGATAGCCTTCACGGATGAAGCCTTAAGCATAGACTTGACGTCGGGAGTGTAGATGTCGTCTTCTGCGACATAGCGGTCGTCGCCAGTCGCCTTTTGCAGCTGCTTGGCTCGCTTGTGTAGCTTAGCACCGCCACGAGTCTCGGGGAAGGCGACGAAGATTAGAATCAAGAGAGGAATGTTGGCGAGACCCTGAATACCTTCAACCCATCGCCAGCCGAGCGATTGGTCGATGAAGCCGGCGTAGATGGGGGCGGCGACAGTACCGAAGATGGCGACGAAGGCGAACATGGCCATCGGGCGACCACGCTTGTGAGGCTCGTACATGTCGTCGAAGGTTCCACCAACAAGAATTGTGCCGACACAGCCGAAGAGACCGAGTAGCAGACGGAGGCCGATGATTGTGGAGATGTTCTTTGCGAGCGCGAGACCAATGAATATGAGCGAGAAGCAAAGGAAAGCACTGGCGTATACGATCTTGCGGCCGACAAGCTCACAGAAGGGAGCTAGTACCATGGGCGCGATGGCACAAGCGATGTTGAAAGTAAACAACCCAAGCTGGCCATAGATTTCGTCAACGCCGAATTCCTCACACATCCTTCCGATTCCTGAACTGTATGCCGTTGTTGCGAGACCGATGAACAGCGTCATCAAGTTTAGCAATGTGGTAATACTGCGCTTGTACCAAGGATTCCAGTTGAACGGGTTTTCTTTGTCGCCAGTAGCAAAGCTAAGGACAATGTACTCCTTGCCTTCATGGTTGACCATCTCGGTCAGCGTAAGAGGCATATCGATGTCGACTCTCTTGATCTCGCCGCAAGCTGGGTCGATGTCTTCAACATCATCAGTGAGATGCTTGCCGCCCGCAATCCTTCCAATCATGAGTTCACCCTTCTCGTTGCGCAGTATCTCCGAGTTCATCGAAGGGGTTTCCTCCTTTCCGTTGGCTCCATTTTCTAGTTTGCTGTTCACTCTCGAGAGCAACACGGGTGTTGAAGGACCTGTATTGGCCGCGGTGTTGGCAGCAGTCTGGTTCGCTGTCGTGCCGGCGATAGTGGCGGCGATGGAAGCATTGCGGGGTGTAGTAATCGAGCCATTTCGAGGCGTAACAGGAGCACTCCGAGCTGCGTAGTATGAGTTCGCTCTTGACGCTGCCAGGGATGGAGGTCTCGAGGACTTGTGATTAAAGGATGGACCGTAGTATCCAGACATGTTGATCAAGATTTAAAGTGGGGAAGTCTTTGGGGAAGCAAAGAAAAGGACGCGGAGTGACGACCGTAATTAGGGAGATATATGGTATTTAGGAGCGAAAGCAGATGTGTACATCCTGCTTATCAACACCGGCGAGGTACCGGCATCGTTGGCCACTAGGGGCGGTGTGGGATGGCATTCGCCCTATTCATGGCCTGACCGTAAACACCCGACAGGCTGGCACGAGAATGCTGAGCCGTGGTAAGGGGGTATCCATGTGTTTTCACATTCGACGTCATAGTGCCTGTGCATAACTGCTCAGCAGATTTGCTCGGTGCCGTCAGATAGTGTATCGGACGAGAAAAATCTGCTATCTCTAACGTGTACGGACACTATGCGCTCTAGCGTTCCAAGACTGTGAGAAGAGTTTGGTGTTGAGGCTCTGCGGAACTCCACTTAGTGGGCGGTCCGGCCGGCAGGATGGCGGCATGACGTCGTATGTGGGTAGCCTTAAGCCAAAATTTGCACACTGCATAACACGTTTTGAGCAAGCCTAGATCTCGGGCTAATCCTCGGCAGCCGCGCGTGTCCGAGCACGCGTGCAACGGCGTTCAGTGGTCTGATCCAAAGGTTCCTCGTGTAAGACTTCAATCATATCGATGATCGTCGTATCGCTACCTCCACTATGTGCCTCACTATCCCACGCGATAGCATTGCGTGGAGGGTCGCTAGTCCTGTATAGTGTCAAACATATAGAACTGTAACACACTATGGGTGTACCTTCTGCTCGTACCTGTTTCATTGTTGGGAGAATATCAACTACTGGGACGACAAGCCCTACTACCTCACACCTTCCCTATTATCTCTTTAGCATCTCTCTTGGCAGGTATGGAGTTTGAAGAGTAAGACGGGATGACGTCGGACTGGGTGAAGCCGCG